CACACACACACACACACACACACACACACACACACCATTGCATCCTCTGTACTTTCATGCATCACATGTAAGACAGTTTTTACACCAATGTTTTTTCAGCTTATGGGGGAAAAAATAAGTACAAAACTAATTCCTTCAAAAGAACTTCTAAATCTTGCATTTCCGTTACCAGCAGTTTCTGAACAAGGAGCCCCACTTAAAACTCAAATGAAGTTGCCAAGTTATACTTTCTATAATATATCCTTGGGCTTACTTTACTAAAGTCTACACACTAGGCATCTACAAATGATAGATCAAGTAAGAAGAGCTGAGAGTGGAACTATCCAGCTATCCACACAACCTTCAAATCCTGTGTGCAGAAGAAAGTAATGTTGGGCCAGAGCACATGTTAACCTGAAAGCCACTTCAAAAGAATCCATGGATCGTTCCATTTTAGTCAACTGATATGAATATTTTCCTAAAGTCCATGGACATTTTAAATTGGAGGAGAAGCATTAGCATTAGAAGTAATTAATTTTCCCCATGCCATGGCAATATTGACATCTAAAGTTGTTTAATCCATCCAATGTTTATAGATATTTGGTAATTTAAAAAAATCTCTCTATGGGCATGTCTAAAGCAGCCTTGGAAATATGCATATTGTCTGTGGACTGCAAATACTTGTGCTTTATTTGAAAACTCTCAATGAAAACATCAGAAAAAAAAGTTGGTTTCAGGGAACAATGGGAAAACTACTTCAGCTCGGCTTGCTCGATGCTTTATTATTGGTACTTTCCTTTATGATACTTTGTGGTTCATTATACAGAATTTTAAACAGGTAGCCTCCCCATTCCTGCAAGGAACAACTTGAAGAAAGATCACTTGGATACATAAACCAGTGTAGAAGGCCTTTGCATATGATCAGTTAACTTGGCTCTGGCATCAAGATGAAAGAGTCACTGTAGACCTCTCATACATCATAACTGATGTGCTTCAGAAATGATTAAGATCCTCAAACTTTCAGAGGGAGGGTGCATCCCTTCCCTATGTGACTGTAATTAAACAAAAGAAAAAGTGGGTAAAGAACTTGACTGTTCCTCATTAAAGTAGAATGTGTACATTCCATTTAGTTCTGTTTATACCAGCTAGATTAAGTCCTGAACCTGACTCTTCCCCCGACCCACCATTTCACGTAAAGCCACTTATCTATGAATACTATTAAACTTTCCCTCATTCTTGAACCTTTTGTTGACTTTAGGTTTCCAGGCCCCTGTGGCATTTGTGATATACTTGTTTGCATATTTTCCATGAAGTAAATTTCTATCAGATAGACCCAGTGTACATACATAGCACATTATTTAGCCAAGTGAAAGAAAAAGTCATGTAAATGAAACAAACCAATTACTGCTTCCTAGTAAATAATATTTTTGTAATATTTTACACTTAAAAGTTTTTTCCTCATTGCAGTCTTAAATAACGTGATACTTTGTCAGGGCACTAGCTAATGGAACTCAGGTTTATTGATTCTTATATTGATGTTGCATAGCTAATATTGCTAAATTGATAACATTTATAAGTAAATAGAAATTCAGAGAAGAAAATTGGTTGGAATTCAGTTAAATTTTGTGGACACCCTCTTTGTTTTTAATATAGTAAATATGAACACATGGGAAATAAATGTCCAAGTCTTATGCTAGAATAGTCTTAATGAGTAAAAAGAATTGGCATGAGAACAATTATATTGAAATAAAAACAATGAGGGAATTATATTAAACCAAGACAGGTAATTAAATTACTTATAATTTCCTGTAAAAAAAGTCCTTGGTGGCTCTAAATTAAAACATAGTTTATGATGTGTAGTATTTTAAGACCACCAGTATAATTTCAAAAATTGATACAGTAAAACAATCTTTAAAAATTTAGATTTTTATGTTACTTAGTGTGATGTATCTCCTGAGTTTAAAAGTAACATTAAAAACTTTCATCAGTGACTGACTGCAGTTTTTTAGGAAGAGGTTAAAAAAATAGCTTTTGTCTAAAGATCCATTCCAAACTGAATTTACCCACTCTATATTAATAAAAATATTTAATTTTTGAAGTTGTTCTTTAGTAATCTATCAAAATCTTATTACTTGCAATATTTCAGAAAAAAACCCACCACCAAAATAAAATAGGCAAACAAACAACCACTTTAACTATAAATAAACATCGATTTAAATTTAAAGAGTCAAAAATAAATAACCTGAAACTCTAATCTGGTTTTAAACAAATGTGTTTGGTTTAAAACAAATGCCAAAAAACCCACATTGGCATTAATGTTTTACTCTAACAAAAATAATTGATATAAAACATTAAGTACAAATGTCCCAGTATATTATAGGCCAGAATATAAAGATTGAATTTCAGTTTTAGTATCTCATAACTTGTCACAGAAACAATTACTGTGCATTCCTATTTAAAATTTAGATTTATCCCCATCAAATTTTAGGAAGTTGAAGATACAGAAGGGATGCAAATGCATGGAAAATCACGTTTTGGAAGCATTTTTGTATAAATGAATTCTATGTAAGAATTTTCTTGGAGTTCATAAAATAATCTCAAAAGGGTAAAGTTAGTTTTGTAATCAGAATTTGTCTATCTTTAACCATCTGAAAAATGTTATTAGACATCCAAACTTTCATTTGTAATCCAGAAGTGTCAATAGTTGCTTGTAGATATAACAGTCTTTTAATTAAGAAACATAGAGCCAAATGCAGAGTTAAAGGCCCAAGATGTCAGAGCAGTAGCTAAGAGCTAAAAACCCTTTCTTACCCTTCACTGTCGCTGCTGTCCTTCCCCTCCGAAAAGGTTCCTGAGACAGGGTTTCTCTCTATAGTCCCCACATACTTGGAGCTCACTATGTAGACCAGGCCAGCCTCCAACTTACAGAGATCCTCCTGCCTCTGCCTCCCAAGTGCTAGGATTAAAGTTGTGCACTTTCCCCCCCCTTTCTATTTTAATACAAAGGAAAAATGTTATAACTAATAAGAAAAACTATATACAAAAAGTTCAATAACAATATACAATATATACAAGCAATAAATACCTAAACAATGTCTAGTCCATTTGTATTTGACATATTCAGAGAAAATAATTCCATTATCTATCCTATTTTGGTAAGTCCAAAATGTACCTGATTCACTTTCTATCCTAACTTATATTACTAACAGAAGTATCTTATAACATCTTTCAAATTTATACACTTACACTTCAGTGAGTTTCTTTTCTAAAATTCTTAACAAGGAAAACTATAACTATCTAAACTTTAACTATAACTATCTAATCTTCAACTCCCTCAGAGACCCAAGAAGGAAATAATATTACCTAACAAAAATAAAAACAGAAAGTGCATGCAAACAGGTTCCAGTAAAAATGTGAGTTAACAGAAACAGCCAGCTCCACAGTGTTGGGGCATCATCTTCAGCCTATAGGCTTAGCGTATCTGACAGACTCATTTGTGAAGTAGGATGTACACAAGGTCAACAGTTTGACCTCACATTTGGTGAGAGTAGTGCATGTTCCAGAAACACATGAATTCCAGTAGTGTCATGTCATGATTCAGGATTTTAAATTCTGGAAATTGTTGATGTTTTTGAATTCAGCTGTTCATTCTTCTTGAGTGTGTGTGTGTGTGTGTGTGTGTGTGTGTGTGTGTGTGTGTGTGTCTTCATCTCAGCATCCCATTCTTCTCCACACAGAACAGCAGCAGCAGTGAAGGGTAAGAAAGGATTTTTAGTATCAAGTCTTAGATACTGCTCTGACCTCTTGGGCTTTTAACTCTGAACTTGGCTCTGTGTTTCTTATTTAATAAGACTGTTACATCTCCATTTGGCGCTCACATGGCAAGAATTCATTAAAAATCACTTGGCTTGGCTTGGTGGCCGCCATGGTTTCCCGCTGGCCAGGCTCCCTGCCTGGGTCTAGCTCAGACCGACCGTAGCAATTACCCGCAGCTGGAGCTACTTGCAGCCAGATGAAAAAAGCCTGTCATGGTGGTGCACAACTTTAATCCCAGCACTTGGGAGGCAGAGGCAGGAGGATCTCTGTGAGTTCAAGGTCGGCCTGGCCTACATAGTGAGTTCCAAGTATGTGGGGACTATAGAGAGAAACCCTGTCTCAGGAGTTGCTTGTGACGTGGGTAAGCTCTTGGGAGCACATGTCCACAGCAATCATTTACCCTGATGATATCATCTTTGCTTTAAAAGGGAAACCAGTCTTTTAACTTTTACCTGTACATGTGTTTACACAATCTAATTCTTTTTATAAGTTTTCAGAGGAAGTAACTATTTTACAATTAATAACTTGGTGGGGTTTTTTTTCCCCAATTAGCCAGGTAGTTACTATAGTTT